GGGGGGGGGGGGGGCGGTGAGCGCATGAGAGCAGGGCGACGAAACAAAGCACGAGAGTGCGGATGTGCAATGTGGGCTGTGGGCGAGTTTGACGTGCGTGTGAAAATGGAGCGATGTCCCAAACTACTGTTGGGTCAAAAGGAGAGCACGAGTTGATAGATGGGTAGAGCCCAGGATGACAGGACTATTATCACGAGAAGACTCGAAAACGCAATCACGTCAGCCAGAAACAACCAACAGCAATAACGAAACAACAAAAACGACGAAGACAACAGCGGCAGCGGCAGCAGCAGCAGCTGCTGCTGCAAAACCCACCTTGAAGGTGGCCAAGGACGCGAGGATGGACCCTCCTACCCACGTCGAGAACTTGCGCTCCGGTGGTGCCGTGATGCGGATCTTGAGGTTCTTTGGCGCTTGTTTCCGGACCTGATTTGGGGGTGTCGTTGTCAACGAAATTGTGCGTGGAGACGTTGAGTGAAAATGAGTGATTTGTCGAGGGAAGGTGCTCGCAGTGGTGCGTGAGAGGGAACACACACAAGAGAGACAGACATGCTGCATTCAGCCTTGTCCTCCCCCAGAGGCGCATCATCCTCCTCCCCTGTCGTTCGGCAGGGTGTTCTAGCGGAAACGAGAGGACGGAACGGTGACGGTACACACAGCAATGACGCCACTTTTCTCCAAAGTCTAATTCGCTCCTGCAAGCAACAGGAGGTCGAGGACAAAGTGGCGCCAGGCCGCTATTCCCATAACTCTCAAAATACCTTTTCAGATACAGAACTCCAACTTCCTCCGCTTTGAGCGTTCAGAATAAGATCTCTATCTTCATCGGCTTGAGGACCTTCCAGATATAAAACTCTATGTTTCTCCGCATTGAGAAAGTTTCATCCGCTTTGAGGATCGTTCCCAGAACCGGACCGTTGCTCCCAAATCGGGTTCCCTCACTCACCTCGTTGAGGAGGCGGTCGCCGAAGCCGGGGAAGAGGGTGCTGCCGCCAGACAGCACCACCTGCCCGAACAGCGTCCGGCGCATGTCCATGTCCGTCCGCATGATGCCCTTGAGGAGGCAATCGTGCACGCCCATGGACTCCGAGCCCAGCTGCTCCGGGTGGAAAAGGCACTCCGGGGCGCGGTACCGCTCGGGGCCCACCTTTTCGGGAGGCGCAGGCGTGTGTGTGTGTGCGTGTGCGTGAGCGTGGAAGCATGCATGTCTGTCTGTCGCTTCCAGGGGGCACACACACACGCAAACGTGGTTGCTTGTGTGTATCTGTGTGTGTTCTGTTGACAGTATCAACTGTGCTAGGCGGCAGGACAATACAAAAGAAACAAGCGCATCCAGATTCTGACAAGGCGGCTTGAAATCCAGGCGAAACTCAGAGCTATACATCAGAAAAATCAACGCAAGCGTACATGACACGATAGCCTGACAATCGCCACTCAGGCAACACTTGTGAAAACATACTTCATTGGTGAACAAACACCAACGAACTAACTCACCCGAATGGTCTGGCCGTCGGGAAGCTTGTAGACGGTGTCGGGCTGCTTCACTTGTTCCTCCGTCGAGGGGTTGAACGCTACGTAGCACAGGTCCTCCTTCATCTGCCGCACCACCTGTGTGTCGTAAGCAAGGACGCACACACAACGACGCGCGTTGCGTTGTGGCAGCGGCGGTGGGTTTTCGCTCAAACTTCAGACCGGCGTGCCATTGCCTTTGGCAAAAAGGAGTGCAACGTAGCACCGCTGGATTGAGACGCAGGGTGGGTACTTGTCTCTCTGAAGACCGGCGTGTCACTGCTCTGTTTTGTTTTTTCTTTCCGCTCGAACAGGTCCTCCTTCAATTGTGAACCACCTGTTTAAGACGCATAGCCGTAAGACGCATACCCGTACAACCCGCTCTAGAGGCAAGGGGGTGGTTTCACTCGCTCTCCCTATTGAGACCGGTGTGTCATTGCTTTTGTCCTGCTCGCGTGTAACTACGAAACATCTGCTCGGTGGTCACCCGGTGGGCGCGGTTGATTCGATGGTAGTCCTAGACTCTTTCAGCACCGGAAACACTGGTATACTCCACGAGCTAGGTTCCTGCTCCAACATCTCATGCGTGCCTTGAACGACACCAGACTGTTGCCTCGTCCATCGCTTTTCCGAATGTGTAGACTATTGACAACTCAATACACACTTCGTGGTGAGAGAAACGGCTTTGTAAACAGTAGTCGCAGTTCCTTGAAATACCATGACCCTGTTACTCCGCCTAAAAAACAACGTTTATTATCGAAAACAAAACGCCATCGACCGACCCTTGTTGATCGCATGCCTAGACAAAGGTTAACGCGCCGATCGATCGCAAGCATGATTCGGAAGATTTGCCGTGAAGTCTCGTGCGTCAAGTAAAGCTTGCTGTCATCGATGCGGGGGGCGCCCAGCTCCAGATGTCCCTGATACCGAAAGGATTTCTCTTGTGAGTCAAGCCCAACAGTCAAGAGGACGTCCCTCCTAGACCGCGACCAACATCCTTACGAAAGCTCTTGAGGGCAGCAGTATCTCTACGTGCACCCATAACTCATTCCCGGCCTATACTTCACATAGCATGCTTGGCCTCACCTCCATTTCCGCGGAGGTGTGAAGGTTGTACCCAGCTCTCCGGAGAAGCAGCTGTAGCCGCTCCGTCACATCCCTTCATCGCATGTTGCACGCCACGATACATCACACCCATCACAAAAATGGAAAGCAGGACCGTGAGAGGGGGGAGAGGGGAATGGGAGGCACAAGACAAGGGTGTACAAACAACGGCCCAGGAAGCGCATGGAAGCTCGCAAGGGGAAGAGAGAGAAATAAGCTCCACGTGCATACAAACACACACACACACATACTCGCGCTAAAAGCCGGAGGTCTTTTCATTGGCCAGCCCGTCAGCGTGGTCGATTCTAGTTCAAACACGTGCACACACACAACCTTGACGCGACATGAGGGGCGTGGGTGGCGGTCGGTATTGACGGTCAATTGATAGCGGCGAGCGACTTCTCTTGTTGAGTCCGTACTCGTAAGCCCCCCCCCCGTAGATGCCGTGCCCCCTCCTGTAAGAGGTTCTCCTGTGAATCTATCAAAGTACGTACCGCCTACATCACTACCGACGTCACACACGCACACCCTCTCGTAGCACGTTTTTTTCCTCGCTACACAAGGAGAAGTGCATACACAACCGTACACGCCAAACAGCGCACCGTGAGTGCTTGCTAAACATAGGCACACGCGTACTATCTACCTTCCTGCCACATCGATTCTGGTGATGGCGTGTCGGACGGCGAACCCCTCGTACACCGGCACGCAGTGGGTCACCCCGTCCCCCGAATCCAACACCACACCCGTCGTTCGGCCAGACGCGTACAGGCTCAAGATCGCCTGATTGGTTGATTGGTTGGTTGGCCCCGCGAGAGCAGTCCACAAAGAGAGTGGCATCGCCCGAACGAGTTTACGCAAACGCAACGAGAGAAAGAGAGAGAGAGAGAGAGAGAGAGAGAGAGAGAGAGGGGTGGGTTTCTACAAGAGGTGTTTGGGGCTTGATCCAACGTACATGTATTAACCAGACCCAGGGACCCAGGGACGCCTCCGGCAGGCCCCTGAATTCGACCCAATTACTTGTGCAGGAGGGGCAGCGGAGTATTACCAGAGGTGTTAGTTGGGTGGGGTGGCAAGGTGACACTACTGCTCCATATATCGGTGGAGGGTCTTCATTAGGTGAAAACGGACCGCACACGAGTGTGGCTCTCTCGAGACCCACCGCACGCACATCGAAAAGTTTAACCCGTTGAGAGAACCCTCACGGCCCCTTTTCGGAACAATGCCTCGACACAGCACTTGCTACTACCGGCTCCTCCGTAACGGGGTAACGTTCATTTGTATTGCAAAGGTGTGGCCAAACACTCCCACCAGCACCACGCGTCAGTGCAACAATACCCCCCCTTAAGGCCCACATGGCGTAGCCCCGAGAGATCGACCAAAAAGTCGCCTGGCGCAAGCTTAGACAACCAAGCCCAGCACAAAAACGACCGTGCGGCTACTTGACAAGGAAGGTGAGCTGCTTGCGTCTTGGCCGCCTTCAAATCGCAGAACACATTTTTGGCCTACCCGCTTGTACCCTCATCAACCACACCACCAAAAAAACAGCCCTAGCACCAACAGCCAAGGAATCAGCAGCAGCACCACCAACAACCACAGACACACGTAAGCACGGCAGCAGATCACCCCACAAGGGCCACATCTAGAGGCGACCCAGACTCATCGAAATTCCCATTCATGCTTGACACTTACGTCCAGTGGTTGTACCGCGGTCGAGTGCTAGCAAACATCACCGCGGTTCTAAAAATATCGGGATATCGCACTATTGAGCGTTGGGGACGAATCATACATAGCTTTCAGTATGGTAGCCAAACCCCGTGGCGAGGGATTGTTATCGCGCTGTATCAGGGCCCGAACTTCTCGGGACGGCGGTACATCGGGACCACCAGTGTGTCGAAAAATTCAATGCTAGTTTGCTGTACATACCAGAGGTAGGCTAACAAGCAAGGGAGCATTCCCGGAATAGTTTCCATGGATTGAGTACACAACTACAGGATAGATATTGAACCGTAGACCAGGGTTTACATCCCAGCACACTGGCGTACCTGAGGCGCGCAAAACATGGCGGGCACGCCGAAGGTTTCGAAGAAGGTCTCCGCGCACTGTCGGCGGTTCTTGTACGGGTTGAGGGGGGCCTCCGTGAGCAGCACCGCGTGATCCTCAGGCCCAACGTTGAGGTTATCCCGACCGTATACGTGCGACCACACCTGTTTTTCGTCGGGCCACGAGGACAAAAAAGGGTGGGGGCGGTCGCTATCAGGCTGCGGGAGTGTGAGGTTAACCGTCCCGTTGGTTTCGGTGCCAGAGTTCACACCCGATACGATGACCGCCGAACACTGGATAGTTAGAACGCCCCAGAGCAAAAAAAAAAAAAGTATGAACCACCCTCTCCATCTGGAAATTTCCACCTGAAGATAACTATCAAGCAGATTGCACTCCAAGTGTATCGTACACCAAGCGGCGGGTTCGCTGTGTTGTGACGCGCCTTCTTCGTACGAGCGGGCAAAGATCGAAGTTCCTTGCGGTACTAGAAGAATAGTCATGCCCGCTAGATGTGAGACGTTTGGATAGCCGGGATGGCCATTCAACCCCTGGCCTTTCTGGTTTAGCACAGCAAACGCAAGGGTGGTGCCCAGCTTCTGGTTCATCCTTGTGAAACGTAACCTGGGCCGGCCAGAACCCGGCACATCACTCCGTCCCGGCAATACCAAGTCAAATGGTCTTATGACTACGGTATGCGTCTCCATGAGTACCGCCCTCCCCACGTCAACGAGAACGCCCTTCAACCGTGCAGGGAAATTGACGCGGTGAGGGGGAAGGGTACACCCGTCATGTGTGTACAGCACAAGAAACGGCCGAGACGCAGCGAGCCAACTTTTCGTAGACTAAACCAGGCAAGCGGCAGAGGGACCAAGCGCGGGGTTCTGCCTGAGCAGAGTTGCTAAAACAAGCACCGAATTTGTTGGGCGAACTCCGTGTGATGGACCCCACCCGTGGGGTGGGGCGTTAGAAGGAGTGCTCCCCTCGGATATTTGTCGATCGCTCATCTGGCTCGTTTCGCGGCTCACTTTTTCCATGTCGGCCCAGTTCTTCACCACCCCGTGCTCCATCGGATGCGTCAAACGAAACACGCCGCGGTGCTCCTCCACCTGCCACCGCAATACCGCAAAAGAGTGTTGTGCGGGGTACTGCAAGCATGCCCAAGATTCGAAACAAGTGAAGAAACAACATCAACAGCGTCTCCAGGGGATTCGGTTAGAGTGCAAGTAATACCCGGCGAAGCCAGAGCATCTGCTGTGGCGTACACGGGTCTACGACAATGGTGCCACCAGCAACAACGGCACATTTTGCCTCACTCAGCTGAAGTGCTGGGAATTCCTTGCACGATCCTACAGCTGTCCGAATTCGTCCCCATAGGGAACACGAAGTGCAATCGGTACGCCAGGTACATCGAGAATCTCCAGCATTCCATACGGCGTTGGGTACGGCTGATGACACTACGCGCTGGCTCAGCGTGGCGGTGAGGATGCACAGACGGTGGTAGTGGCGAGAGGTGTGTATGGACACTGTTCCCGCGGCAGTAATGCAAAGCGGCAAACTGCACCTGGCAACCACCGTCGCGGAAAGCGTGGCCCACGAAGCTGGAGGAGTAGAGAGATTCGTAAACACCACGTCAGTAAGCACCGCTCGCGGGAGAAGGGAGACGACCGCGGGCACCGCGGGGAGGGAGTGCTGCACCCTCCTCGTCAAAACACCACAGGCAAGAACCGAGCTCTGCAGAGATGGATTGATGCGAGGAAACTCGCCGCTCGGAAA